TGAAAAGGGAAAATATTCTCGTGAAAAATCACATCTCAAGATAGGAAGATTTGCTTTGAGGCTACATCATAAAGTCTATAGCCTTTCACCCCGGGAGGATACCCTAGAAAAACACAAAGCCTAGCTCTTGGCTGGAACTTGCTTCTATGAGCAGATAATGTGGAGGAGAAGGCTAAACAGCTAAAGACTTGAAGAATAGAGTAGTCTGCAGGTTTGTTGTAAAGTAATTCAAAAGGAGTCTGATGTTTTAAGACAGGAGAAGGGGTTCTATTTATGAGAAAAGTGGCAGTTAATACACACTCAGCCCAGAACTTAATTGGAACTCTTGACTTAAATAATAAAGCCCGTGCAACATTCAAAAGATGCTGATGCTTACGTTCCACCACAGAATTCTGCTGAGGCCTCTCTACACAACTAAACTGATGCAAAGTGCCAGTTTCTGCCAAAAAATCTGTAAGTGCCAGTTCAGGGGGCATTGTCCGACTGAAATGTCTTGATTTTGGTATTAAATTGAGTTGCCACCATGTGAAAGAACCTTGGAATAACAGTGCTTACATCTGATTTTTGCTTTAACATATAGATCCATGTGAATCTCGAAGAATCATCAACTAATGTTAAGAAAAATCTGTAACCCGTGTGTGATACAACCTGATATAGACCCCAAATATCAGCATGAATGAGTTCAAATGGATGATTAGAAACACGATTATTTGATACAAAAGATAATCTCCTTTGCTTAGCAAGTGGGTAAATGTAACATGGTAAATTTCTACTAGATTTATTAACATCATATGGCAAAAGATCCTTCAACCAGTCCAATCTTTTAAAAGAAAGATGATCTAACCTATTGTGCCAAACATGCACAGAGACTTGGTTTACACATGTATTTGAAACAGAACTCAATGTTTTAACATCAAGAACATATAAATCTTGCACCCGATTACCCCTGCCAATCATCATCTTGGATTTGAGGTCCTGAATATTGAAGTGATCATCAAAGAAGCTAATGGTGAGTTTTGATTCAAGTGTCAAAGCACTAACTGAGATCAAATTGAACTTGAATTGCGGCACAAACAAGACATGATGCAGCATAATATTTGGACTTAATTTAACATCACCACACATCTTGACTGATATCTGTGTGTGGTTTGGCAATGTGACAATCATATTTTCAACGATTCTCGTTGATATGAATGATGTGGCAGAACAACATATATGTTTGGTGGCTCCTGAATCAACTAACCATACATCTTTGAATAATAGGTTAGGTGCTACTGAGATAGAGTAACACTTACCTGCAGCATATGAGTTAAGGCTAAAGTCATGTGCATCAGTAAGATTTATATTGGTACTTGAGGCCAAGTGATTGGACAATATTGCCATTAGCTGTTGGTACTGATTGGTATTTAAATTCTGGACAAAGTTGCCAACAACTAAGTGCTGCTCTTTCGTATCTTCCTTCATTCCATCAGTAGACATATTAGCAGAAATAGAGACTTGATTCACATTATTCTGCCCAGAAGGATCCCTTGGTCTCATCCTGAACCCAGGAGGATATCCGTGAATTTCGTAACACTTGTCAACTGAGTGCCCATGAATTTTACAATGTGTGCAAAATGCTTTGTCCTTCCTGAAGTTTCTAGCCGGTCTATACCTCAAATTATAACCATAATTGGTAGATCCAACAGGCGATCTACTGTTATCAGCAGCTCCATATCTCACATTTGTACCATAATTGGCAGATTCAACAGCTGATCTGCTGTTATCAGTAGCTCCATATCTCACATTTGTACCATAATTAACAGATCCAGTAGTTGACCTGTTGTTATCAGTTTTAAAGCAAATGCAACAACATTATTCGAATTATCTCCAGCATCTATATGTGCTATCTTCCTCTGGTTTTCCTCCTAGTTTATCAATGCAAGTATCTTATTGATTGGAAGCAATGAATCGGATAATAAAATATGTCCCCTAACCTGAGAAAAGGAGTCGTTTAATCCCATAAGGAAGGACATTACATATTCAGTTTGATAGTGCTCATTTAAACCCTTCACACCCTCACAGGTGCACTTCCCACAGCTGCAATTGGGGCGATAATTACTTAATTCTTCCCAGATCGTTTTGAGCTTAGTGAAATATACACTGATAGTATCATGATTCTGAGATAAATTGAACAATTCCTTCCTCAATTGAAAGATACGAGGCCCATTTTCCTGCTGGAACCTATCTCTCAAATCATTCCACATTTCATTTGCGGTAGTTGCATAGATAACACTAGCTGAAATGTCTTTAGAAATAGAATTCAAAATCCATGAGATGACGATGTTGTTATTTCTGACCCACGAGTTCATAAGATCTGGTTCGCCATCTTCAGGCCTGGATCTGGTTCGCCATCTTCAGGCCTGGATATGGAACCATTGATAAACCCAAACTTGTTCTTCACCAATAGGGCAATAATCATTGCACGACTCCAGGAGGTATAGTTCTCCCTAGTGAGTTGTTGAGACACCAAAATCAATCCGGGACTGTCCGAATGATGGAGGAAAAATGGACTGGCAGAATCATCGACATCAAAGTTCACAATTTGCATCGGCTCTGGTTGATTCCCAGGCTCCATGATGGAATATAATCAAACAATGATTTAATTGTTTTTGTAATGAAAAAAAAACAACGAATGAACCCGTTGCTCTGATACTATGTCAGATTCGAGAGAAAGAGGAGAAGAGAATTATATTCAATTCAACTATTAAGAAAGAGTTACAACAGCAACATAAATAGGCAAAGGAAAAATGGCGCAAAAACTAACTAATATTCTAACAACAAACTAATTATCTAACTGAATTGAATCACATTAACAATCTTTATTTAGAGAGAAATCTAGAAGCATCTAGAATCTAACAATAGATGTTGCTGCACAAGATATGAATGATTTGACACAAGAATTTGTAAATCAGGGTAACTCTCTCTCGCTCTTTTTTCTCAAATTTTGTCTCAATGGATTTTTTGTCTAAGTTTTAATGAGACTGCATTTTATTACTGTAATTTTTATTATTAATTTGGTATTTTTGCCCCCATTAAGTTTTTTCAGATTTTTAGACAAAATGACGATAATATTTGAAGAACAAAAGATCACATGTTAAATGTCTACAGTATTTTTGTTATGCAGAACTTAAACTCAGGACTCACATTCAACCTGTCGAAGAAGAGCCACTGCCGACATGCTGGTAGATAAATAAGAGCATTACTCGCCAAATTGGACATCTTTTTAACGGCATGGACCACTTTTTGGATTATTAAGAATTCAAGATTTAGACTTTGTTCAATGAATTGAATTTTGGTTGATTTTGTTAAAGAATGCAACATGTACATCATATTTGATATCATTATTTACGTAAATTAATTTACTTGTACATTATTTTTATACATCTAGTTTGACACTCCCTATGTGTAAGAAATTTGGCCAATGATTTGAATGAGTGTCTGTCGTATCAAATGATGTCGAACAAATTGTCAAATATGATGTACATGTAGCAAAATCGTATATAAAAATGAACAATCATACTACATGTACATCTATATTGACATTATGTTTGACATTAAGCCATTGTTTGAGTCACGAAAAAATCCTCATTCTCATTCTTCTACTCATTTTCAACCATATATTTTTCAATAAAATAATATTTTTCATTACATCAACAACGTTTTCTTTTTTTTCAACCACACATTCTATATCAATTTACTATTTCAAAATATATTCTTTTAAAATAATGTGACCCAAACACATTCGAAGAATGAAAATGAAAATGAAAATGTGGCTCAAACATGTACTCAATATCTACTGTATTTTTGTTATAAAGAACTTAAACATAGGACTCGCATTCAACCTCTCGAAGTAGGCCACTAACCGACATGCTGGTAGATAGAGCATTGCTCGCCAAATTTGACATCTTTTTTACTGCATGGACCACTTTTTGGACTATTAAGAATTCAAGATTTACACTTTGTTCAACGAATTGAATTTTGGTTGATTCAAGATTTACACTTTGTTCAACGAATTGAATTTTGGTTGATTTTGTTAAATCACATTACAATCACAGTAATGAAGCAATCATTATTGATCTCGTTAATGGTCGTGGACTCACTGAATTTGATCAAACCAATAGTTCTAATATATTGCCGGTGAAATCTTTAATCAAACCTGTATAGTTAGCAAATAATTTACATCTTATAGTTCCCAAATGAGTAAATTACAGCTTCCAATTCTAATTCATCTGCAGAAATCTTGGAGCTTATTAAGCTCAAACGAGTCATTTGATCCGATTAAAGACTGAAACGAGCGAGCATAGGAGTTTCAAAATTAGTTTTGCTAAAATGAATCATCATTTTGTGGGTCATGTTAAGCGATAAATCTCACATCGACTAATTATCGAAATATAAGTCAATATATAAGGGTTTTGGCTACTCTCATTTTTCATTGGTCCTTGTAAGACGAACAGTTGTGGAAAAATATATAACAATTTCCAATTCTATTATCTGTTGAATAATTTCGATGAGCCAAATTTACAATAATAAAAAATAGTAATATAAAGGGGGGATTGGATTGAATTTGCTGCACAGCTTAGTCCTGGTCCCTCTTTCAATGTGTCATTCTGACCTTGAAACCAAATAATTCATATATACATCATTTGCACTATTTATGATGTAAGCAGTGACGACATATGTAAAAAAAAATTAATTTATGTAATTTCAATAAAGTTGGTATAATTATATTAAGAATTTAAACTATTGTTGATATGAGTCTTGAAAATGGTACGTCTGAGTCTTCTATCTAATTTATCAATAAAAATTCAATTGGAACAAGATGTAATAGATTAAATTGAAAACATCGTAGTAGTTTTGTATCGAATTCTACAAAATTTATCGTAAACTCACTCTTACAAAATTAAAAAAAATAGGAATATACATTGGAGCTAATAAGTTAAATCCAAGTGGAAAAGATTTCATCTTCGGCTGCGCATTCGAGCTCCCCAAGACATTCGTCCTCCTGAATCCCTTTTTCTTTGTTTCAATTCATTCAGTTGAGATTGCCACCTCATTTTCCACTCCCCTTCCGATCTCTGTTTGAAGCCCAATCCATGAGCTATATCTTGATCATACAAAGCTCTGGCGTGTGGATCAGAAAGGGTTTCGTAAGCCTCTTTAACCAGTATAAATCTCCTGGTGTGTTCATCAACACGGTCTGGTGGCGACACATCAGGATGATACTTTCTTGCCATTTGTTTATAAGCTTTCTTTATATCAGAAATAGTTCCACTCTCTTCAATTCCCAACACATCATACAAACTGTCTGTGCTTTGTGTTGGAGCATAAATTGCCTTAAAACTGGACCTGGAATGGGATCTTCGAGTCATCCCAGATGGATTTTTGAATTGAATTCTAGAATTTGGGAGCTGTGAACGGAAGGAAATGCTAGAAAAACTTTCTGTGATGGAATTTTTTGTGGGTTTTGAGCAGAAATGAAAGAGGGTTTCGGAACCTGAAACCACTGCACAACTCATTCTTCTGGTTGGTGTGTGTGTACGTTTGAGTATGAAAATTTTCTTCTTTCCTGATTCATTGAGTCCCTCTCTTTGTGCAGTGTGTGTGTATATATAGGAGTGCAAATGAACTGGACGCGGTATTATTCTAGATGAGTTTGTAAGACCATGTTTGACTTTTCTTTTTCATGTTTAATACCGACAGAAATATTCTATTCTTGCTATATTTGATAAAATAATTCATATTTTATCTTCCTTTTTCAAAACTCATATTTTTTTATAAATTAATCTAAAAATTAAGATTTTGTTGCGACCCACAATTCACACACTATTTATTGCGACAATTTTTATCAATTTTTCAATAAACTATATACTCATTCTTTAAAATTTATTTATTCACAAACTCATTTTTAATTATACGTTCTTATAATAAAATAATTTTGTAATGAGTATATAGTTTATCCCTACTTTTTAATTATATTATTCTAAAAAATCACATTTACAAAATTTATTTTTTTAAAAATGGGGTGAAACGGGGATTAATTTTATTGTGCATTTCCTGTTTTAAGTATTTAAGAGGTAGATTTTGTTCAACCGTTCAAGATTAAAAATTAAGAATAATAGTGTCTGAATCGACGACTTGTTCAATGATTTGTGTTGTATTAATCAATGAATGATTGAAATTGACTTTGTGTGGCTTTCCCTTATTATTTTAGCTGTCATAAGTACTTGCAACTCGATTGTACTCAATTGAGATTTTAATGAATTTTAAAGGGACTTTTAAATTTTGGTGTTGAAATTCATTCAACTCGAGATATACACAATTGACATTTTAATAAATTTTAATTAAATCCTTTAAGATCTAAATATACACAATAACTCATAGATTTATAAGAATTTCATTAATAGAAGAATTTTAAAAGATATGGATGAATTTAAGCTTAAAAATACATAACTAACTTTTTTGAAATTTCCCTCTTTTTTACGACATTTTTATGAATTTTGTGGAAATCTATCCAAATCCAAGAAGTTCATTAGAATTTATAATCTTTTAAATTCAATCAAAATATCGGTTGAGTCTATCTCGATATTTTGCGTTAACAAAAGTGGTAGTTTTTCTTTTCATGTTTTTCAACTGCATGAGCTTGATGTCAATATCCATCTAGGCTCCATCATGCTATCAAGGTGGCCATAGTTTGTCCATGAATCTTTTATTGAGGAAATGTAGAGTCGAGAAGAGAAGACACGGCTTTGTTAATAGATTGACTTGCCGACAAAAAAATAGCCATGATGACAATTTCAAAACATTCACGATAGTTGTTGCATGGTTAGAGCGTTGCAAACGAGACAGAGTGATTTTGAGTGTTTCCATCTTTGATAGCGAGGTATACCCGCAAATTCCATTGTTAATTACACGCAAATTCTTCTATCAAGTAGTAGACAAGATTCACATATACCCAGGGGCGGTCCTGGGGGATCCGGACCCTCCCAATTTTTTGACAAAAAAATTTTTTTAATTTTTTTTTTGTATTTACCATTTTGTTCTCGAGTAAAATCCCTAAACGGTTAAACCCTACAATTTCCCGATTATTCTTCTCCATTCCAGTTTTCCTCCGTCTTCACAGAACCCGAGCTGGGTTGCACCTTGCAGCGTCTTCTCTTCCCCTTTTTAGCGCACCGCACCAACGTCTTACCTGTTCACCAGTTCAGGTGAGTCACGATTCTTCTCTTCCCGTTCTATCTGGTCCTTTATTTTGTGAGTAGTGGATACAGGATAGTGGTTGTTGTTTTTTGACAAATTGGGTGTTTTTTTGTCATTTCCCGATTCTTCTCCTCCATCTTCAGAACTTGCAGGCTGCGGTTTTTGGCATTTCTGATTTCCTAATTCTTCTCCTCCGTCTTTAGAACCTATAGGCTACGGTTTTGAGGTAGGTGGCCAGAGAATTTTTCCAAACAATCTCTTTGCAAATTAGAAAGTCTCTACTTGTTTGTATAGTTGTATTGTTTATCACTTATCAGTGTAAGAGTTTCCTCACTCATCAGGCTCAGTGATGGAGAAGTATTTCAAAAGAGTATATAAATTTCATCCATCTTCGATTGAACAAAACATTGATGAAAGGAATGTTCAGATTCATATTCGGGATGAAGGGGATGAAAGTGATGAGATTATAATAAGGTATGATTTTGTTAAATTAAATATTAGTACTTTCTTTTATATGTTTCTTGATTTTTTTGTTAATAATATACATTAATTTACGTTCCTTTGTTTCCTTTCTCCATCACAAAGTACCAACTTTTCTCATTTTAATAGATAATGTTTCAAAAAAAAAAATTCGATCTCCCTACTTCGACGGACTGGCTCTGCCCCTGCATATACCCCAACCACGAAGGAGGCATATAGTTAGGCCTCTTCCGACAAGGCTCTAAAACACTTACGTGGTAGTTACACAACAAGGGAATTTGGGTCTGCACTCCACGTTATTTTACCAAAGAGGTAGTTTAGCCAAACCTCGTGGAGAGATCGAACCTCTATGGAGTGGTGAACCTATTTGCTAGAGTCGACTCCATATGGGGAACTGAACCCTCATGGATGAGGCTAGGCTGCAAGGGACTCAGCGGAAGATTTTTTATGCAATTCTCAATAATCGATTAATGTAACTATTCACTACTGCCGTTGCCCTATTCAGCCAAACGGGCAAAGTCTAAGTCTTGTCTCAAACATTTGGAAAATAAAATGGTATTGGCATTAAATACCTATGATTGATTTATACATTTGACAAGAGATCCCAGCCGCATAGATGAAGCCACGTATACCTTTATCCAATGGTCAGTATCCATCATCTTCTAATATAAGAACTCATACAATGTACCATACAAAAGGTAATGCAAGTTTATGTTCTCAAATTATAACTTTGCTCTCTTTATTATTATATATTCTAATCCTAGACAAATCTCATATTCCGTCTCTTGCACTCATTTTCTTTCATCAAGTTGTTGACTTGGTCGTCGAAATAGAAACGGTCGCCAGACATTTTTCTCATCCGATGGCATTTGCCTCATAACAAAATGTTACAGTGTGCATGTCAATTCTACGTGGAAGGGAGACGATCGAAATTTTTTTGACGCATTTCTTGAGGTCAGCAAATACTATTATAGCCTATAGGCTGATCTTTGAAGATTCTTTCCACAAGAATTTTCTTCTAATGCCATCAATAAAAGTTTTTGCAGTTTACACATTCGATAAATTGGACGGATATTAAAAAGATGTTAAAATATTGTCCATCATACCATTGATTTTATAGCCTATAGGCTGATCTTTGAGAGATTCTTTCCGAGTGTATTTTCTTCTAATACCATTCAATAAAACTTTTTGCAGTTGACATGTTTGATATCTTGGACGAAAATTAAAAAGATGTTGAAATCTTGTCCATTATACCATTGATTGTATCAAACACGTTTTAGTTATACATGGCGATATTAAAGCTTGTCTGACTATACCATATTGCTTTGGTTCTACAAAACTCCGCTAATCTCACTGTTCCGGGTGGTGCAAGTGTGGCATGCAGCACTGCTAAAATTGTTGAGTGGGACAGTTCTTGGTTGAAAAGCCTAGATCCATCCGAAAGGGCTGCATTGGTGTCCATAACTCTGCTTACATAGAGCATTTACTGTCGTTTGTAGCTAATGGAAATTCGATGTCTGGATGGAATCCCGTTGGGGGTTAATGCTCTGGAGCTCGCCATCTAGAGCTAACGTCCCATTTGAATGTCGCTTAAGGTATAATTTTGCTAAATTAAATATGAGTACTTTCTTTTATATGTTTCTTGATTTTTTTGTTAATAATATACATTAATTTATGTTCCTTTGTTTCCTTTATCCATCACAAAGTACCAACTTCTCTCATTTTAATAGATACTGTTTCAGAAAAAAAAATTCGATCTCCCTACTTCGACGGGCTGGCTCTGCCGCTGCATATACCCCAACCACGAAGGAGGCATATTGTTAGGCCTCTTCCAACAAGGCTCTAAAACACTTACGTGGTAGTTACACCACAACAAGGGAATTTGGGTCTGCACTCCACGTTATTTTACCAAAGAGGTAGTTTGGCCAAACCCCGTGGAGAGATCGAACCTCTATGGAGTGGTGAACCTATTTGCTAGAGTCGACTCCATATGGGGAACTGAACCCTCATGGATGAGGCTAGGCTGCAAGGGACTCAGCGGCAGATTTTTTATGCAATTCTCAATAAGCGATTGATGTGACTATTCACTACTGCCGTCGCCCTATTCAGCCAAACGGGCAAAGTCTAAGTCTTGTCTCAAACTTTTGGACAATAAAATGGTATTGGCATTAAATACCTATGATTGATTTATACATTTGACAAGAGATCCCAGCCGCATAGATGAAGCCACGTATATCTTTATCCAATGGTCAGTATCCATCATCTTCTAATATAAGAACTCATACAATGTTCCATACAAAAGGTAATGCAAGTTTATGTTCTCAAATTATAACTTTGCTTTCTTTATTATTATATATTCTAATCCTAGACAAATCTCATATTCCGTCTGTTGCACTCATTTTCTTTCATCAAGTTGTTGACTTGGTCGTCGAAATTGAAAAGGTCGCCAGACATTTTTCTCATCCGACGGCATTTGCCTCATAACAAAATGTTACAGTGTGCATGTCAATTCTACGTGGAAGGGAGACGATCAAAATTTTTTTGACGCATTTTTTGAGGTCAGCAGATACTATTATAGCCTATAGGCTGATCTTTGAGAGATTCTTTCCACAAGAATTTTCTTCTAATGCCATCAATAAAAGTTTCTGCAGTTGACACATTCGATAAATTGGACGGATATTAAAAAGATGTTAAAATCTTGTCCATCATACCATTGATTTTATAGTCTTTGAGAGATTCTTTCCGAGTGCATTTTCTTCTAATACCATTCAATAAAACTTTCTGCAGTTGACATGTTTGATATCTTGGACGAAAATTAAAAAAATTTTGAAATCTTGTC